CAAATTTAATTAAAATCAGTTTGGCGTGGTTTAGGCGTGAAAGCGTAACATACAGACAGACAGAGTTACTTTCGTATTTATAATATTATTAGGGATGAAGACAAACGTAAGTTGTGCTAACGTAAATTTGAAATCATCTAATTTGTAACAATTTTAAAATTAATACATTCTGTGAGACAAAACCTCTATAAGTTACAATAGAATTTTCTTATGTAATTGCTTTTCTTTGTCATAAAAAATCTTCATTTTTGAAGAACTATTGTTTATTTATCTAATAAAGATGACATTCTTACCATTCATTTGTATCAAATTTTACCATTAATAATCTTCATATTAACGTTTGGTTAATAATTTAATATATTATGAAATCACGTGTCTACTTAATAAAATTATAATTCATACGAGAAGGATATGTATGGAAGAGGTTTTTTGCGATATTTCATTACAGTAATGAGAGTGTGTTGGAAATTAAACGGATTTAATGATCTCATTACGAGAGGAGGTACCCGGAGTGGGAGTAGGGGGGAGAGATGCTGCGACGTGGCGTATTAAACGTTACTATAATAATGTAATATTTGATGTGATAAAAACAACGTCATATACATATAAATGCACATTAAATATTTTTTTTTCTTTTAAATGAAACTACTATTTTTCGAATTATACTACGTGACTTTATTTTCGTAAAAAACTACATAGTCTCGACATTTCGGCTACTTTTTAGCAACCGTAATGATTTTCTTTTATATTTTATTTGTTAGGTAAATAATTTGATTTATATTTATAAATATAAAATGTAATTATTTAATTAGACGCTGTAAAATAATTAATCGTTACAATTTTCAATTTTAATGTTAATGAATATCCATTATTGTGCTTGAAATTTGTCCGGATTGATATGAAATCAATTTTTATTATTAATTGTATTGTTCATTGTGTCACTTTATTTTTTATCTAAATCTATATATTTTTAAAAATAATTTGTAAACATTTTGCTTATACTAAACAACGTAGTAAAGTACGAAGTGTATACATACTTATAAACACAAACCCAACCCATTTCAAGCACAAGGAAAGTTTGTAAGCGAGACTTACATTATGTAGTCCCTATTAACTTGTTACGGGACACTTACAGAAATATTACTCCGTCCTTTGAATTAATGGACCGGAATTAAATATATGTACAATAGATTTATCAAGCCTTTAAACGTCTTATAAAAGATTGATGAATTAACCATCTAGATTATTGCTTATAGTGAATATTAGGAAGTAAGTTCCTTAAGCCTGTGTGTTACAGAAATTAATAAGTATTTCTTCTATATTCCTCGATTGAATAACAATCGTACACACGAAGTAAAAAAATATTATAAATATAGATATAATTATTTAATTTATTAATTTACTTTCCTACTACTTATTCTTATAAGTAATCTTGTTTCATAAAAAAATCTAAATTCAACTATGTACATGTATAATATTTTTAACAATTATATAAAAAAATAAACAAAACAGATCGTATCTGTATCTCGTCACAAGGACATAATATTTAAATAAATATATCTTAGTCATCTTAGTCGCAGTGTTGTTAATTTTGTTTTTTGTATTTTTTCATATAAGTTCTTGTTTTTAAATTTTTATCAATATTTTAATAATGAAGTTGATTATATCTACGAAGCTCGTGTGTCAATAAAGGTGTGTGTATTTGCAGTCATTATTGTTTAGCCTTAGGACGAATTCACGTTCTGATACTCAGAACTTACTGTTCCAACGTTTGTTATTATATAAGAAAGTATGAATGGAAAATCTATAAGCCGACATCGTTCAGGTTTACTATGGAAAATCTTATTAAAGATGTTCAAAGGAAAAATGTATTGCCGGAGCAATTTTGGTAAAAAATTTCTCGAAAATCAGTATAACTTTTGGCTAGTACTCAACAAAGTATATACAGGGTGACTGGTGAATTACTATCAATATTTAAGGAGAATACTCAGTACATGATTCTCATTCGAATTATGTAAAAAAAATAGGTACTTAATTTTTGACCAAATTTCCGTATCAATAAATAAAGTGTGGACACGTTCCAAGTATTCGAAGTGTGGACGCGTGCGGCGGCGTGCTGATACAACACCACGCCGCCGCACGCGCCTGTGTGTGTGTGTGTGTATACCTAATCTGTAGGGTGTTCACACGGTGCGTAATTAATTACATAACTTTTGGTTAACTTTACATCGAAGTTTATTAATATTTATGTTATATTAATTTTTATTTCGTCATATATGATCGTCAAATATCACGTCCTCAAGTATCGATAGTAATTCACCAGTCACCCTGTATATCGTTCAAATTACTCCTTTCTTAATGTTCCTGATATAAAGACATCCAAACAACCCATTTACATTATAAATAAAACAAATAACTGCACACGTCATAGCGTTTATTTGAAAATATTAAATTAAAACATATTTCAATGTAACCAAAGAAGTTCAAGGTTTTCTACTGGGAAGTATTGCCGGTATAAAGGTACGTGTATAAACGCACGGTATTCTGACCTTTCTCATTAGCGTGAGACACCATGGTCCATGCCTATTACATGTGTCATGGAACGCCACAGTGCATTATGGCTTTTATAAATCATTTAATCTCCATTTATACGGTTTCAACTGCACGACTTTCTGCGCTATTTAAATTAAATGTCGTCTATTAAGAGCTATTTACAAGATTTTTGCCACAATAGAAACTGATTTGTCTGTTGTTTAATGGTCATTTTAAACTAGAGCGTTTGTCATTTCTGACTTTTTTTTCGTCTTTTTTATAGACTATAAATGCGTATTAGTATTTGAAAGACATTTCTTAATTATCTAAAAATAAATAAATAACATTTTAATCGTACGACCTGCTAAATAACAAAAGAATTGTGATTTAGACATACAACTGTTATTAAGAATAGTTTTGGGAGTTAAAAAAGGCAAAAATAAGAATATTTCTTCATTTGGCAAACGACTAATGAGTCCAAAACCGTACACTCACCGCATTATGTTAATATTACTCTAAAAATTAAAATAAAATTCAAAATATATTATAAATAATCAAAGTTTGTGAAGCCTTTAGAGGCCAATGTATAGATTATTTTATGTAAACGAAAAAGATTTATTGCCATATTGATACGGAGATATAAGTTTCTGTCGAGTATAGATTAAAAGTGATGTGCCTAAAATTTCTTGGTTGGCAGCCAATAGCTAATGCAGTAGAAAAGCATTGCGGGGATCTTGTATAAAAATTATGAAATTAGGAATATACCTCAAGTTATAAATATTGTAAAGTAAAATCAGTCTTATTTATTCTTATTAAATATCAAAATTGATTAACATAATTATTAAAGGTATTTAAAAATTCATTGTTAAGAATAAAGTATTGGAATACTTATTTCTTATGATGATTTCACTTTCAACCTTGTTGATTAGGTTCCTGTTATACTTGAGTGATTCTCAAAATTCTTGGCCAAGGTCGATTTATGACGAATTTTAAATGACTTCACAAAGACTGCTCAGTAAGTGCTCTGTAATAAATGTAACAATGATCATGTTTTAACTTAACAGTTATCGATTTTCAATAAGAATACATATTTGTTCCGTCTCACGCAACTCGACTAAGCTTATGGCGTTGTTCATCATTAATATGTGGCGTGTTATAAAAACATTAGTTGGAACTCATAATTTTAATGGTGTTTAAATGCAGCTGTTAAATATACCCTGGACAATAAAATTGGAAGAGCTTTAGTGGCACACATTGTAACTAGATGTCGGAGGTCTAGATCGATAGGGCACCAGTTATCAAGGATACTTGACCGATATAACTTGAAACTCACATTTTTTATTCACTCTCATGATTCACTATATATGTGTCTGACCCTGCTTCTTGATGTATCCAGAACCTTCCAATATATGCTTCCAAAATCATCGCTCACACATCACTTTCTAATCCACTCAATCGTCACCACCTAGGCTGTGTTAAATCAGGTATATTATGTGCAGTGCAATGATTTTGAACTGACCCTCATGATTCACACACACATTATATATGTGCCTGACCCTGCTTGTTGATGTTCCCAGAATCTTCCAAAGCATTGCTTCCATATTCACTAATCATTGCTCACATATTGCCTTCTAATTCACTCAATCGTCACCAGCTATGTCTGTGCTAGATGAGGAATGTTCTGTGCAGTGCAATGATTTTGAACTAACCCTCATGATTCACACACTATATACGTGCCTAAGCTTGCTTGTTGATATTCCGAGAACCTTCTAATATATGCTTCCAAAGTCACTAATCATCGCTCACATATAGCCTTCTAATTCGCTCAATCGTCATGAGCTAAGTCTGTGTTAAATGAGGAATGTTCTGTGAAGTGCGCTGATTTTAAACTCACTTTAATGATTCACACACTATATATGTGCCTGACCCTGCTTTTCGATGTTCCCAGAACCTTCCATAGTCATCAATGATCGCTCATATATCGCTTTCAAATTCACTCAATCTTCACCGGCCAGGTCTGTTCTAAATGAGGTATGTTCTGTGCAGTGCAATGATTTTGAACTGACCCTCATGATTCACACACACACATATATGTTCCTGACCCTGCTTTTTGTTATTCCCAGAACCTTCCAATATATGCTTCCAAAGTCAGTAATAATCGCTCATATATCTCTTTCAACTTCATGCAATCGTCACCATCTATTTGTGTGTTAAATGAGATGTGTTCTGTGTAGTGCGATGATTTTGAACTCACCCTCATGATTCACACACACTATATATGTGCCTGACAAAGTGACCCTGCTTCTCGATGTTCCCAGAACCTTCAAATATATGCTTCCAAAGTCCCTAATCATCGCTCATGTACCTCTTTCTAATCCACTCAATCGTCACCATCTATGTACATATGTGTGTGTTAAACGAGGTATGTTCTGTGCAGTGCGATGATCAGTCCCGAGGTCCTCTAGGGCATGCCCAGCGGGTCCAGCCGGTCCGCCGCGCTGAGCCAGGCCGGGCCCGCGCCCGAGCTGCCCCGACCAGCGCTGCTGGCCCTCGTGATGCAAGCGCTGCACGCCAGCGACGAGGACAGCTTCATAGGTCAGTGGCTGGAATTACTCCTTATGTATAGCTCAAATTAAGTTGGTTCATGTAAATAGAGAAGTTTTACCGTTAAGTTCGGTGAGCTATTAAGAGATTAATAAGATTATAAGAACAATAAGTGGATGGACTTACCCCTTATGTATAGCTCAAGTTGAGTTGGTTCATGTTGTTAGAGAGGTTTTTTTGTTTAGTTCGATGAGTTATTGGTATGATAGAAACATTTGATAGTATACGTGTTGATCTGAAATAAATAAGATGATAAGAACACCATAGCAGCTACTCTATATTAAAAATGAGAAATCTATTCATATGTAATTATGAACATCAGTAAAGAACAGGAACTTTATGTTTATATAAAAAACTGTGCAAAAATAAAAAGCTTATGCCTGAAAAGTATTTCAAACGTATTTCGTATAAAAGAAATTAATTTGAAATACAAAGTTTTCCAGTTTTTATACGGTTTCAATGTAATATGTATTAATATTTCTTTATAACTCTTGAAATTTATATAAAACAAAAATAAATCTTAAAATACATGACATTAAAATCATTTAAAGGCTACATTTCTTTATATTTTAGACCACTTAAATACCAGGTGGTTGTCAAACAAAGACACATGCAGTCGTTATAGTAGCTGGTAGGTACTGTGAAGGTCAAGTGTTAGTATTCTATGACCTCATTCTATACCAAGTATTTTATTGTTTACATTCAGGGACACTCGTACTAAATAACCCGTAGACATGATATATAATATATTTCGCCAGTTCCGATTACCGATATTCATTTAAACTATTGACTCGTTTTCCATTGATTTAAATTTCCTTTCACGTAACTCACAATTGTATGAGATTATTCAACGAGCTAAAAATTATCAGTTTAATATTTGTATTTATATTAATACTAGCTTGCCGCCCGCAGCTTCGCCCGCGTGGAGTTCGGTTACATCGCGTTTCCAAGAGGACCTTTTGAAAAGTCTGAGATAAAAACTAACCTGTTCTTTCTCAAGGTCTACTCTATCTCTGTACCAAATTTCATTAAAATCAGTTCAGTGGTTTATTCGTGAAAGCGTAACATACAGACAGTCAGACAGAGTTATTTTCGCATTTATAATATTAATAGGGATTATTTTATTTAGAAACAAAATGCATTTTAATAACTAATAGTTGTAAAAAAAATCGACTTTTCTATACAAGTAATAGGTCCAAGATACGCCCCAGTCGGCGCCGAGATGTCTACAGATAAGTTTGCGTGACCAGACGGCGGTTTTAACATAAATTAACCTTATATTTGTAGTCGGAATGTTATGTTGATTTGATGGTTATTAATATAATCTTTACTAAATACATATCTTACATATCTGGTTTTAAAATGGCAATATATATTTAAATTGTTTTGATAATAATCAATTCTTAAGTATAATAACGTAAAAATATCGAGTGGATTTAAAAAATATTTAATATTATTAATTAATAGTATAGTTATGTAAAAATGTGTCTTAAAATATTTCATAATTTCTAGTATTTTATATATTTATTCAGTAGAAATTCTTCAAGTCCAAGTTTGTAACCTAAGTCACAGTCAATCGATATTTGGCTACAAACTTACAAATGTATTTTTGTATACAATATATATTTTTTCGATTTCTTTTTCTCTTCAGATAAATCTTTTATCATAATCTATCCACCTCTCTCTAATTTATTATTAATATAACAAATATAAAATATAGAAATTCGGGTCAAAAAAGTCTTCCAATATTTTTTATCCATTTTTACTCGACACGTATTATTTTGAATAAAATATATTTATATATGACTTTTAAATGGCAATAAACAAAAATGTCGGCTTAAAATAAGTATCGATTTTTCATGTGAACGACAAAAAAAGGATGTTGATGCTAACTAATTTTAATTATATTAATGATATGTTGAAATTAATTGCTAGGGTATTTTATTTTCATATGACTTACTTTTCCTCTTCACACAAATTGTTATGTCAAGTTGAAAGATTTTAATATATTTTTTACTCAACATTTATTGTTAAAGAAAAATTGCTCAATTCAGTTCAGCATATAAAAATTAGTGTCACAGTTCAAAGCAAGAAAATAGTAGGAGATTGAAGCTAGTAGATTATAAAAATATAAGCGAATTCATAGTTTGAAATCTCTTTTAAGTATCTGCAACTGAATAGAACGTTCTTTTCACTATCACCTTAATACCTTCCATTGTTGACAATATCAAACTCTGTAGGCTGATTCAATTGAGATACAAATTAAGATAAATTCATCAATTTACTTTCCTTAATACACTCTGATAAATAATCTTTTCTCAAGAATAAGAAAGATTTTGTATTTAGTCTTAATTCCTTAGTTAGTTTCATTTGAATTTAAATCGTATGAGAGGTTTTGTTTCAAACAGTCGTTTTGAGTTCAATGAACTATGAGATTTCAGACGGAATAATGTGGTGGAAACTACGGATCTAAAATAATAAATATAAAGTATATAAATAGTTTTATATTCTTGAGAGCATTCAAAATATATTTAAGTGAAAATCGTGAATGAGTCTTGCTTACAGTTTTATCACTCTGTAAGTTAAAGAAACGTTTGAGTGTATTATAATTCATTGGTGACTGCAGTGAAATTCTACTCAAGTTGTTTTCAGGAAGCGTATTTTTCAGTGAGGCGGTGACTCACGTGTTTTCCCATTTCACCATGAATAAGTCAATTTACAAGTTCAAATGAAAATCGTACGTATGACGGAGATGTTAGGGTTATTTTCGAATGCATTTAATGTAGGCCTTCGATGCTTCAATACAGTCATTCAGTTATCGGAATAGTATGTGTCTTTATATCGTTTTTGAGAATATATCCAATGTTCTGATGAAGTTGAGTAACTTTTGTATGGCTTCATAATTAATTGTTAATAAAATTTTATGAATAATCTCAATAATTTAATGTTTTTTTAAGTACAAGTTCATGTAAGTTACAATTAAATACATATCAACATATAGTACACAATACACATAACAATTTTATAATATACAAGAGCTTAAAGGTCAATCACCTCTTTCACTCACTAATAGATAATCAATACTTTCCGATACAGTTGATCAATTTATTAACTTTATTTAATAAAATAAGTGATATTAAATTACAGTGGGATTATAACAGAAAATTTAAGACTTCCTGTATTGTGTTTTATATCAAAGAATATTTTTTTATTGTATATTATACTAATTAAATCAAAGTAACCTTTGGAACATGTCCGTAGAGCGAGGGGGTACTCGTGGACATTTTAGGAAGACCCTAATTCCTTAGGAGGCCTTTAAGTCACAGTGTATGACAGGACGGCTTGCGAACTTCAAGAAGTATCGTCTTAAATTAAAATAGTACAAGCTTTATTGCTACCAAAATTCTTAACAGTGACTGCTGACTAGAATTGTATGGAAGAGTTGATACCTTATTTTTCTTTTATATACTAACTTCTGATCAGTAATTTTGGGAACCAGCAAAATTAATCATCTTATATATTACTAGCATTATTTGCATCGATAATTAATTTGAAAATAATTTTATTACTACTAATAAACAATACACGAAAGGATTATTTTTAATACGATGCGCATAGGAAATCCTTTACTAATCAAATCTATAGATATGAATGTATAATTACAAATATATAACTCTAAATAATTTATATACTCAAAACATATACCTAAGAAGAACTGAACCAAAATTTTCACTTCTCTCAAAAGTGCTTCATAAACGTGACTATGTATGTAACATACATTGGTACATTTGTATGTATTTAAGAAACAGGTTTTTACTTTCGCTATATATAAAAAATATCGGTCGTTTGTAACGTCTGTATGCGCTTGACCAGACCACAATGAATTTATAACACCTACAGTGAACTCTGGATTGTTCGAATGGAAACAGGTTACTAAGGTAAATTTGTGTTAGTGGAGTTTAGTAGGAAAATAAAAGAATATATATTTACAGTAAATTTTTTGTATATATGGTATATTTATTATAAAGAGTAAAATACTAAATATTCTTTATACATATAGCCTATCTGAGGATTTTTCATATAAAATTATTAAATTATGAAGAAGGTCAGAAAATATTAATGTAATGATTATGATTTTATACATACATATTTTTTTTAGAAAATGTTAAATGTTTTTAGACTACACATTTCATCCTTATATAATAAGTAAATATGATAAATATTTACTAATAAAATAGAAATACAAAGATTAACAAGTACATATATACAACCTCTTATCAGTTATCAAGTTAAAGACATTTACTATTTAAGCTCTGACAGAGTTGGTAGCAAATTTTTGAAGTAACAATATGAATCCATCATATAAATAAAATTGTATATATTATTTAAATTTTATTTTCAACACGTTGGTTACGTAGTAAACGCTATGAAAAATCTTAATTAAATTCGCGTTAAAATGACATTTCATGAAATATAAAAACACTCGGCTTAATTGCGAAAATAGTTATCCCGTAATTAAAAAACGTTTTAATGGGAAAAGTTCGGCTTTTAATAAGCGGTTCGACGACCTTTTGACTGTTTGTTTAAATTGTTCTGTTACAGTTATTTTAATGGTCATTATTACGAGTTCACATCTCAAACTTTGCACTGACAGTTTTCACGTAATTTACTTTCATTGATAAATACTTTAACTTTAATGTGCTGGTTTAGGAATTGATTACGTTAATACTATCGGTTCTTAAGTAAGCGAAGTCACCTCGCACTAAGTGTAGTACGTTTGTTTATATGTATGTTGTAACTGGCGTCGTTTTGATACTCTTTTGTTTATTGCCCTCAAGGACTTTCGGTTTTTTAAGAACGTGCAAATAGCTGTTCGTTTAGGTTTAATATGGTGTAAGACTGCGCTTTTTGGGAAGTATGTATGTATTTTATGTGCAAATATGCTCAAGAATTTTTTAGTTCATTGTTAGGAAACTAAACTGTCTTAAAAG